TGAAGTGCTGCAACAAGCCAATGCAAAAGTTAGTGCTCTTACCCTCCCACACAAGTGTAGTAATAGGTAATCAACTCCGGAAGAATGGACAGCCTGGTTGACCTCGGCAAGTACCGGATTTGATTTGATTCCACATGCACACGTTAGTGTGCTACATGACGCTTAACCACCTCCAACTAGAGAATCCATAAAATTCATCATTGTAGGATTTCATCTTTCTCACAGCTTGGATGAGAACACTGTGATGATACATGCCAATGCCCTTTAAGAACGAATACATATTAAATACGAGGAACTCGAACCTGAATTACCCCCAGACCGTTCCTATTCATAAAACGGGGCGAAAAGGTAACAAATAATCATCTCACATCTTTAAACTGCACGTACGGCTGTTTGCCGAGTTCAGCAACACAGTTGAATGCCGCTTCCTTTTCAACGATCAGTTGACAGAAGCGCATCTCCTCCGAACGGACGAAGGCCCCCATGATTGCCCTGTAAAAGGAGAGTTCGAGTCCGGTCGTAAGAAGTTGAACGAAATCAGTCTCGAGGTTGGAGGTTGTGGAAAGGGATATGCTCACAATGCGCAGTAAAGAAATACTGTTTAAAAAGAAATGCTAGCAATGAAACTGTACAGAAAAATAGCATTCGACGGAAACTAGTTTCGATAGGCCGTACTTTGCATAACTTGCATGATTGATTGACGCTAGCCTATTACGTGCGGAAAATTTTATCGCGTGGTAAGGGTTTTGATGAAGTCCGATTAACTGCTCCTGAAAAGTGGAACCGGTCTAGCGTCCATCGAAAGATCATGGACAGGCTAGAGAATCAGGCACTTGGCGTCACTTTACAGTTCGTGTTTACATAATCATGTTATGTTGTTTATCGTGTTTTCAAAAACAAACAAATCCAACCCAAGCATTTCTACAGCTAACTATCACAGTCCCATATAAGGAGTCGCTCCTGGAACCGGTGGGCATCGAGCTTCATTGGAAGGTGATTAGCTGAAGACGACTAGAATTAAACGAGCTAAAATATGTGCTTCGTGCCCGGATCGGCGTAGGACTCCTTTTATGAAACTGCGGTAGTTCACAGTTCCATTAGGAGCCAGTGCCAAGCCACAATTACATGCCAGTACTCTCTACAACAGGCAGTAACATCATTTAGGGCAACCTCAGAAAACTCAACATGCTCATAGAAAAAATATTCTGAAAAGTGATGCTGATGATCAGTGAAAACCATACTGGCAAGCAGAAAACGTTGAAAAATGAAGCTGACTGGAGTGGGGTAAGAGCGATGAACGGTGTCGATGATGATGACGAGAGATCAGCGGTCGGTCTTCGGTCCTGGCGATCGCGCTGCGTCTCGCCGATTCACATCGTCCCTCACCACCCTACCATTCACACAGTCCACACAAAAACTGGGATGGGCCTTATCAGGCGCAGATTTTGCCGAGCATCCACAGTACTACGGCATACTGTAACTATATGAGGGTTGCACTTGCTATTAATGGGAGCCAACGTCGTAATAGGATGAATAAACACAGAAAAAATGCAGGGCGTTTTTTAGTTGGTTCACTGTGCTGCGTAGCGATTTCAATTTCCGCTCCGAATCATGGTGTTTCTAAATATTTATCCACCTAATTCCTGAGTGACTATTCAGTAAGAGCACAATTCTGAATAGGGATGTAACAGGCTGACAGAGTGGTCATCCCGAGCACTCAGTTTGCTAGAAGAAGCATCAACTTCATATCCTGCTGTCGGAAGATCGTAGTCATTGCGCTTGCGGTTCTACAATACTGGCAAGAATACAGTAGGAAGAGAATGAGTTACATATGTCGACTGGAATGAATCTCTGAGTTTAACAAGTCTTTCACTTCAATGTAGCCAGATTTCCGATCAAAGTTTCAAGAACTGCAAAAGTTAATTGACAACAACTTGTTGTTCACTGTAAAAGCCTTCCAAGTACTCAAAAGTCCACAAAAATCTGACAGCAAGCCAGTTTCAACGCAATTTTTGAAGAATTTGGAAGTGACAGTGCACAGTTAGGACTTGATTGCTTCTATTTATTCGTCTTGATGTTTTGGTTACACCAAAGAAAGAGTAGAACATCATAACTGTTTTCGACGATTCTTGGAAATCATTGTTTTACCATCACGTCAGGATACCTCGCTTTGTAGCACCCTTCCGAAATCTGTTTTCACTCTAGGTCTAGTTCCTGAAGTTTCTTTGGCAGACTTGTAAATTACTATATTTAGTTCCTAGACAGATTGATGATACCGTTCGTTTTCATTGTTTTTAGGACGTGTTTTGATGTCACGCAACGTCGGGTATTTAGCAGTTGAGCGATTTATCAATTTTGAAATTCAAAAGATGAAAATCATTCCAAATTCTTTTTTGCCTAGGGAAGAAAGTGTCTGAGCGAAAAAAATGGTTTCCGGCAAACAGGGAGACGAATGAGATAACATATGTTCGGTAGAGCCATAGCGAAACATTCTCAGATTATTTCGTATGTGAGCTGCAATTGTAAATCTTTGATCAGTGGGTAGTTTGATTTCTTCAAATGCAGGAAGCTTCTTGAAGCCGTTCCTCTTCCTTTAAATTCTTCCTTTGAAGTTCTATAGTTTGGACTCATGTTTTAGACTTTATAAAAGGTGTCAATCCGCACTTAAAANAACGTCGGGTATTTAGCAGTTGAGCGATTTATCAATTTTGAAATTCAAAAGATGAAAATCATTCCAAATTCTCTTTTGCCTAGGAAAGAAAGTGTCTGAGCGAAAAAAATGGTTTTCGGCAAACAGGGAGACGAATGGGATAACATATGTTTGGTAGAGCCATAGCGAAACATTCTCAGATTATTTCGTATGTGAGCTGCAATTGTAAATCTTTGATCAGTGGGTAGCTTGATTTCCTCAAATGCAGGAAGCTACTTAAGGCCGTTCCTCATCCTTTAAATTCTTCCTATGAAGTTCTATAGTTTGGAATCATGTTTTAGACTTTATAAAAGGTGTCAATCCTCACTTAAAATGGTATGTTTTGCTAAAACAATAGTTTTGGTTTTGGCTTACTCAGACTTACGAAGTGGGGGAGTCGAGCAAACGAATACTTTCAAGCCAAAATTGATTCCATCCCTACTCTCTTATTGCAAGAAACAACCATCAGAAAATGTGTTGCATACTTACTATCACCCTTGCACAATTCACTGTTGGCTTGTATATCAAGCCTTCCCTTCCTTCTTCTTTTAAAATTGGTTTTCCCATCGAAGCCTGACAATGTCAGCATTAGCGACAGGCAAGTAGGTTTAAACAATGTGAGGTATCAGCCGTAGAATCGTAGTGAAATTCTCAGCTTATTCGATTGAAGGTCGGCTACTGAATGGGTTTGGAATTTCACCAATTGAGGACCATAATACTAGAAAAACCTATCCACCAATAACTGTAGAAGAACACCGAAACATAGGAAAAGCTGATTCCTTCCTATTCTGGAGGATTAGCCGGAAGGAAAAGGCAGTGAACTTTTGGAAGAAGTGGTGCTCAAGTGAAGCCATCAGTACTTGATTTTTTGCAATGCTAAAAGGGTAGGGAAAATCTCAGGCTGAGCTGAGGACATTTTCTTCGACCTTACCTCTCTATTCGAAGAATTAAAACGCACCCAAACCTGAACTTATTCACGATGCAAATTCCATACAACTTTTTCTGGTGCAGATAAATACCTTCCCATAGACGCAATGAGGTAGAAAAATTGCATTTTGAAAAAAACGGCATTAAGTATATGTTCGGCCAAACCAACAAACTGATTATTACTCCCTAGACTACTCTCTTACAAAATTCCTCCATAGCTCGACGTATATTTTCCATGAGTTCTTTTTCCTACAAAATGACATTTTCCCCCTTCTCTCATCCTACTTTCTCTACTCACTTTTTCCAAGGTAAGGGTAGCACAATGGACAAAGCTGTGTTATTCCGTGGGTAAGGAAGTAGGGCGTGAGGTCCGGGCTCGTTACAAGGAAGGAAAGCATAGCAATAGCTCGCGTCAAAAAGGAAAGTAGGGCTGAGGAAAACAATGTATGTAGTTACGACTAACTAGCTATGGCTTTCACGGGGGAACACTGATGGGATGTGTTAGGACTGGGCTCGCCTAGGGGGAACTAGGCAAATCACGAATAGAAAGCTGCGTCGACAGCACGTCTTCAATCGAGTTCACGCCAACGTAGTGGAATATCGTTCTCTCGAGCTCGGGATCATTACCCTGCTGTCGTATGATCGATTTTGGCACCTAAAATGGCTTTCGATGAGAAATCGATAGCCGAATAGTCATCTACATAGGAATTCCTATTTATTTCATCGCTTTGAACATGATTTTATCAGTACCGGTTCACAATTCTTTAGTAATACTGGTGTCCTATCAGTATCGATCTTCTTCGAGACAAGATTGGTCCTCATCAGCAGACCATTTTGGACCTTTACACCGTCGTGACGAGTTCCACCGAGCCTGCGAAAGTTATAACCGCTTTCGGGTTGACATAGTTCCTGTGAAGATCACGCAATACCGATTCGAAAAGGCGAAACTAGTGGATTAGCTTCATTATAGGGACTGTTAGGTATTGCCTACGATCTCAACACCAAGATGCTTCTCGTAAAGAAGGTAGACACATAAGTACGGTGATAAATAAATTTGTGAATTTCCCCGTCGGTGGCTCCACGACAAGATAATTTAAAACAACTTTATTCAAATTTTGCTTGCTCAAGTTTTGGAAATTCTGGTGTTCTATACACAATCAGACCACCTCCGGACGCGGTTCTGGTGAGTGGAGAGACTTTGAGGAGCTACTTTGAAGAAGCAAAATATCGAGTTCTTCGCCTGCTGCGATCATTTTCTCTCCCTTTTGAGTTTCATGTTATACAGCATTGCTATCGATGAATAAAAAGAAGTTTTCGAAAAAGTATCCGCTTTTCTGACGTCGGCAGAAGTTTCGAAGGAAGATATAAAAAGGGAAAAGCGGGCTCTGGCTGAATACGCCGCAGGATAGAGCTTATAATACAAGCCCAGCATGACTTGCCTTGATGCCTCCTGATGGAACAGTCACTGATTCCAGAAGAGCTGGGCAATGACTTTTACCCTAATCTTCTCACAAAAATACTTCAATACATTGCTTTCTTTATGGATAATGATACAGCACCGTCTGTGTTGTACAAACAATGAGGAGCTTTCCACACTTCGAATGCAAAGTATCCTCCGTAAAACCAGAAGGACTGTAGCTGCTTCCAAAAAAACAGGCGTAGATGGTGTTGCTGGCTACAGTTGCGCTGCTCCACTGGTGCTCCGATACCGGTCGTGATTATTTCACTGCTGAATTCGTAATCTTGATAGATGATATCTTTACAATTCCATAAAACATCGGATCTCGTCAGCGATATTCTGATCACTAGGTCATCTGGTAACAAGCTCAGTAAATGCTAATCCAGGCATCCATTCTACTAACGATAGGG